CCCGCAGGTTGAGAGCTCAGGTTAAAGTAAAAAGTAGGGCACTACACTTCATAGACAGAGTGGGCCGACTCGAGGGAGTGAGAGAGGCGGCCACGAGGCGCCTTGTTGCTAGTTTTTATGGGCTTCACATGCCAATGAGTGAGAGGACCATTCCAGCTACCCTGGGGAAGGGGCTGGGATTCCCAGGAATTGGGCCACCACCCACTCTTTAACCTTTTGTGGTTAGCCTTGGGACTGTCATGGCACCTGTGGGCATGTTATTCACCATGCTAATATGTTACAGTGAGCATATAATGAAGCTCAAGGTCTACTGGAAGTCAAACCTCCTGCCATCTTGAACCTCAAGGCCTAGTGGGAGTTGAATCTTCCACCATTCTGCTGTTAATTGCTGTATTACTCCTTGAAAGGCTGTGCCCTGCCCCCTTCCCTCCTGTCTCATAACCAGACTTTCCTCAGAATCACACTGAGTTGTCAGAAGAACATGTTCTTCTCATTAGCTTAGTGCCTCTCCTGCCCGCTCTGTTACGCTGTTCATTTGCTTCCTTTGCTCAGCATCTCCCTGTGGATGGAAAGGCACTGCATGAGCACCCCAGCCCTGGCTGGTCAGACACATGGTCAGCACCTCCTGCGAGTGCAGGGAGGAGGGGTAGTGCTTTGGGGAAAGATCCAAAGGACCCAGGTTACTCTGGGAATTGCAAGCCAAAAATACAGAAGGGAGAAAAGAAAAACAGGAAAAGGAAGAGAACGAACGGGAAGGGGGGAAGGCAGGATGTAATGAACAAGAGTCGCCCAGAGCAAGAAGCAGAGGGACGAGCATCCGCCTCATAGCTGGCAGGTCTCCGCGGTAATCGGCTCTGAGCGGCCCCTGTTGCTGCCCCTCCTCTCTCTGGTCCTCACTGTGCTGGAGGAAGACCCCAGGCCTGGCCCAGGGGCTTGGAGGGAACTGCGGTGCGCCCCGAAGCACTTCCTCAGGCCAGATCTTATTCTGAGTGGTTTCTCTCCCACAGCTGGAGAGGCAGGGGGCCCTGCTGGTGGAATTTGAGGCTCCCCTTGTCACAGGCCCAGAGCAGCCAGCCCAGGGGCAGAACGTGGTCTTAAAGGAAGATGTTATTCAGTTCTCACCATCCTTGGAATGCTCCCTGAGACCTGGGGACAAGGTGCTGGCACTCTGGGGGCCAGACCCACAGCGGTATGGCCCTGGCACTGTTATCTTGGGCTTGGAGGCGACAGACCCCCAGAGAGGTAAGGGAAGCTGCCCTGACCTCCCAGTCCCCCTGCCAGGCTGGTGATCAGGCTGAGGAGAGAGCAAAGGGTGTCTCTACAGCTTAGGGGTCTTAGAGGCTTAAAAGGATCCTTACCCCTTTACTTGCAGCTTCATCCTGAGGGTGGCCACAGATGTGCAAATCATCAGATTACTTTCAGATTATAAAATATTTTTAATCAGTGCAAAATAGCCTAAGGCTATTATGCCTATGTCGATTAGCTAATCTGTTGTGTGGTAGGGTTATCCTGGGATCTCACCAGTACACATAACCTGCCCACCACCAAGTCCAGGGACTGAGACAGGAGCAGGGCCCACCAGTCAGCATCCCTGTAAATCAGAGAATGACAGGAGGCTTCTCCTTCCCTTCCCCTACCTGAGGATGCATTTTAGTCTTGACACGAGAACTGAGATGCAGAGGCGTGTGCAAGTGCACCAGGAAGGGCTGGTAAACACGGAGCGGGTGAGGGATGTCCCTGGCAGGCTCTCCAGGGAGGGGTGCACGTGACAAGACAGGCGGAACAGAGGGGCTGCCCTGAGGCTTTGCTTCTGGGAGAGGAGAATCCTTCTCCCAGGATACAAAGGAGGGGGTTGTAACAAAATGTTGCCCTTTTCTGTTATGCAGCATCAAAAGAAGAAATTACTGTTTACTTCTGGAATGGCAAGATAGCCACAGTGCCCTTAGGAGGGGTCACGTGGGTGCCCCCGGCTGTCTGGAAGAAGGCTGTGGACAGGCTGCAAGTGTCTTTCACCTGGGAGCGCCCCAGCCCCCTCCTCTGGGCCCCTCGCTGCTCTCTGGTGGGGCCGGTTGCTGGATGTGTCACCAACGGGCTTCCTCTGAGCACTCTGCTCCTGTGCCCCGCCTGCCACCCGTGTGCCTGCTGCCAGCTGCTGTGCCAGGGCTGCCTCTGCTGCTGCCCCTTGGCTGGACCCACCTGGTGGCCTCTCGCCAGGACCTCGGGGGCCACAGCCAGAGAACATCCTGAGGTGGGGCTGAAGCCCACCGCCCAGCCCATGCCCCTGGAGGACCCAGAGGAGGAAGGAGGAGCAGTGCAGGTGTCCATGGCTGCTTCTTCCTCCTCTACTTCCTCTTCATCCGAAGAGGAGGACACAGAGAATGGACTGGAGACGGGCCTCCCTCGGAGGCTGACGGTGGACAGCATGGTCAACACAGACCCCATCCTTCATGAGAAGTCTCCAAGGAGGCAGGGTGGCCTCTGCCGGCCCGAGTGGAGGTACTGGAGGAGAAACAGGGCTGAGCCGCATCCTGGGAAGCCAGGTAGACCTTTTGCTAAGGCAGGGCTGAGGCCCCTGCTCCCTTCCCTCCCGTGTGTCTCTCAGGAACCCGATGCACATGTCCACTCTGCTGGGATTGAAAGTAACACTTGGGGGTTTGTCATGTTGAAGGGGAGACTGCGAGTAAGAGGGAAGGGTAGGTTTCACTTATGCAATAAAGCTCAACAAGAAAGGATGGGCTGATCTTTGCGCAAATGTTTGCATCCCTATTTAACAACTGTCTTCTTTCTTCACTAGTCTCTACTGACAGGACACTGCCCTTGTTTGTTTCTGCCCTCCCCTCCCTCTTTTCTCTTGGAGGCCTTGATTTTTCTCTAGATGTACAGTCAAAATGCCTTCAGGTGCTGATGAGCGACTTCAGTGCTCTGAGAAGCTCAGAATCTGGTCTTGAAACATGGGTCCTCAGATCCTTCTCTCCAGATATGCCCCTTAGGAAGTTGGGGGGCAGAACCAGGCACTGCCTTACGCTGCTCACTGTCCACAACCGAGAGGGGAGGCAGCATCACTGTCGGGGGCGATCTGCAGCTGTCCCCAACCATCTTCACCTGAGCAAAGAGCCCTCACAGGTTTCGGGCAGTATATCACTAATATGCCTTGTGCTGTCCCATCTACAGTCCCAGTGGTGCCCAGAAAAAGCAGATGCCCAAGTCAGCTGGCAAAGCTTTGTGGAGGAAGTGGCTTGGAGAAGCCAGCTCTAGACTAGATTCCTGGGGCCCTGGGGTGACTCATTTAATGTTCAGCTCAGCTTTTCTTTTCTCTCCTCCAGATTTTGTCCCCTTTGAAGGAAACATGCTGCTTTGCTTCTAATTGTGCTTGACAGCCATCAAGTACTGACGTTTCACAGTCTGGGCTCAGGCTCTCCCTCTTAAAAATCCTCATGTGTGGGCCCTCTGCCCTCCACAGGTTTTGCTACTTTTAGTTACAGATAGCGAGGTTACTGTCTGTTCCTGACCTAACTGTCCCGGGGAGGCCAGGAGTCATGCCAGCAGTCAGGCTGCTCGCCTCCCCCGCTTCTAACTGAAACAGGCTGCAGGCAGTGAAGAGTTTCTGTGATCCTTGCATAGTCCTACTCAAGTCAACAAGACCAGTTCCAGCAACATGGTGGCACGTTCAGCTAACTGAATTTTGGGTTTAGGAACAAGACTTTGCAATATCCGGAAAGGAGAGAAGGGTGATAAACACAGAGTGAAAAGTGCAGCAGCAGAGAGTACCCAGGAGCTGGTCCTGGAAGCGGCTGGCATGAAGCCACTCTCCATCCGGCCAAAGGGAGCTGAACACAAAAAGCTGAGTCGAGGCACTGTGACACGTCAGAGTGACGGGAACGCCCCTTAGAGTAAAAGCCCCGAGGACAGAGGTAAAGAGAACGGCTGGGAAGGGGCTTCTGAAGGACTCCTTCCGTGGGTCTCTGACCTTTTGGGGGTCACACCCCTTCTGAGAATAAGACCCATGGACCCTCTTCCCAGAAAAATGCATACGACCACAACTTTGCACACAGCTTCAGAAGACTTACAGAACCCACAAAGTTCATCACTGGCTTCTTGGGGGTGCAAGGATCCCCGTCTGAGCGACCTCTCTACCCTGTGGTGATGGCATGGGCCTGCTTTAATAGGCCCTCTGTACCTCACTGGGGATGATAATGCAGCTCTACTTAAAACTTGCTTTCGTCACTTAAAATACTGGCCTTTTTTCTCAGGAAAGTCATTCAAATGAGAAGAATCATTAGGCAACTAAACTGAGAGATGCAACAATACTGTTGGAGTGGTAGCTTAAAGACACTTAGGACCTATCAGTGACTTTGATCCTTAGAATTAGTCGGCCTAAGCCTCCCAGGGTTTTCTTCTCTTACAGGAAGCTAGAGTGGTGGTGGTAAACACCTGAGGAAAAGTTGCAAAGTGGCCAACAGGGCCTTCTGCAGTGGAAACGGGAGAGTGCAGGCCACAGACGGTGGTCCAGCGAGCAGCATCTTCACCCCATGAAGATGTCCCTGCACGTGAGCAGCAGGAAGGCGCCTGTCCTAAGGGGCAAGGCCCCCTGCCAGGGGCCTGGTGAGATCTGCTCGAGGATGCCTCTTCCACAGACGCTGCACAGCATGGTCAGCCTGCTTTGCGCACACGTGTCCACAGCCTCAGTTGTACACAAGTGACATTTTGTTTCACTCAATGCCAATAAAAAGGAATTCTCTTCATTTCCAAATCTCTCCCTTTATTATCATAATTAACCTTTACTTGGAGTAAAGCAAGCAGTAAAAATTATTCATGCAGCATCATTACATTATTACTTTCAGGTAAAAGAGGATGGGGGACTTTGAAGTTAAAATAGGCACTGAAAAAGACAAACTCTAGTTCCCAGGAAGGCTGACTGTCTACAGTCAGCACTATAAGCAGGATTAATGTGTAAGTATTAAGAGAACATATGGTGGCTTTGTTCTTCTTGGCACTTAAAAAAAAGGTGACGAGATGCCTGTGATGGTCAACATCATACAGGGAAGACCAAGTCCACACTTTGTCCTGAGTCAACTGCTACCACGTGAGTCTTCTTAGTCAAGTCATTTGTACCCACAGTGACGGAATAGGTCCCTGGATACACTTCTATGTAGAGGTCCTTAGAGATGTTCTCAGCCTGAAAGGAAAGGCAGATATTAGCAGTTTAGAGATTTTATGTCCCATTGCCTCTACCCGGCTACCTCTGTGTGCCAGACGTGCGAAGGAGTGAGGCACTAACATGGGAGACGGAGGCTCTGCTTTCAAGAAAGGTGCGGCGTGGCCACGTAACAGGACTGCCATTTAGGTAAGTCTGTCTTATGCTTGTTTCCTTAGTTCTAAAACTAACTCACAATTAAGTGTATGTGTGAAAATGCTAAAGTGTCATAGGAACATGAAGGATCATAAAAGGAACACTCTGGTTGGGGTAGAAAGATAAGAATCAGGTAGAGGGAAAGGCTAATGACCATTACTTAGGGGCTCAGCAGTAGGCAGTGGGACTTGTTAGCACAGGTCAGCAGTCATGGCCAGGCACCGTGGAGTAACGAGAAGCATCCTTTTTAACTGTGCTTGGCTAAATTCATTATTAGGAGGATGAAACACTTCTTTTCTCCTGAAGCTGAGAACACTATGAGTAGATTCCACTTTGACATGCAGCAAGTTAGCCGGCTGGCTAAAGCTCTCCCTTGGAGGATTGGTTCTCCTATATAGATGGTCCCCAACAGGCCAACTTACAGGTTTCAATTTTACAGTGGTGTGAAAGTGACATGAGTTTGGTAGAAACCGTACTTTGAATTCTGAAGTTTTCCTAGGCTACTGATAAGCAGTACGACACTCTCTTGTGATCTCAGGCAGCAGCAGTGGCCCCGGTGTCCCAGCCAGCCACGCGATCACCAGATCAAACGACTCATACACTTATAACCATTCTGTACCCAGACAACCACTCTGTTCTCCCTTTCAGTACAGCATTCAATAAACTACATGAACTATTCAAAACTTTACTACAAATAGGCTCTGTGTTAGATGCTTTTGTCCAACTGTCGGCTAATGTAAGTGTTCTGAGCATATTTAAAGTGGGCTAGGCTAAGCTCTGATGTTCGGGAGGTTGGGTATACTAAACGCATTTTTGACTTATGGTATTTTCAACTTATGATAGGTTTATCGGGTCATAAGTCAAAGAAGATCTCTGGTGCAAAACACTGGAAGCTGGAGTTAATGAAAAGATTTATATTTAGAGCTGAGCTGAGCACAAGCCAACCTCCAGGGACAGACTTCACGCCTGGCCAGGAAGTGGGTTACGGCAGACATACAGGCGGAGGAGAGGTCTCAGCTCAAATGGCCAAAGACCAAAGTCACAAACCAGAAAAGAGCCTGTAATTAAGAGCCAAACTCCTGCCCCACAGCTGGGAGACCACTACCTGCCTACTCGACGCTCAGTAGGAGCCAAAGGCAGAAGCTGTCATATCGACACCACACATGGGGGAAAACCAAACACCTGGCCAGCAAATTCCACTAAGAGAAATAAAAGGTAATATTTATACTTTTATGAAACTTCCTCCCTTTCCACCTTGCAAACAGTTTTGAAGCCAAGTTTTTCCGAAGCTGCTTTATCTATATCCTCTCATGCCCAGTGACTGCAGAATTGGAGGTTTATTATCTTGTAAACGACGTGAATGTGAATGGTGGCACCACCACTATTTACTGGTCATTAGCTATGTGAATAAACAAAAGTGGGTTTCAGAAAATGCAGCTGTATCAGAGCTGCAGAAAAGGGGCAAGATTGGCGCCTGTGATTCCAACACCCTGAACATCAGGAGGATGAGCATTACCAAAACCCAGCAAACGGTGGAGGCATCTCCACAGAACAACTTGTCCTAGAAACAGAGTATTCCTATTTGCTACTAACTCTAGTGTATTCTGAACCCTGGCTAGCTGCACATCATATACAAACAAAAACTAAGCAGACGACTGCAGCAACACCCTGGAGATCCATTCCTCAGAATTCCAGCCCTTCCAAGTGCCAAAAGATTCCGTGGGTTCATGAACTGATGAGTACTTTATCCTAAAAATGAAAAACTCATCACTGTATGTTTTTACAGAGAAACATTTGTGGAAAACAGGAACAAATCCCTTCAAATGTTTTGGAACCCAATCTAACCAAATGTATACGTTTCAGAATTTCAGCGACAGTTTTCACTTTTTACACCCCTCCTGCTGCTTGAACAGATGGTGGAATTCCAGCGGGACGCAGCGCCAGCCCAGCTGAGCTGTAGCAACTGAGATATGAATACTTCACATTCTTTCCAACCGCAACTATGAGTTCAGGCACAGAGAGTATCCCTGAAATTTCAAGTGAAGGAAGGATACCAAGAAAACATTATTTTACACTGAACTAAAATGTTGTGCCCGTTCCCCAAGGGTAAAAACATCCCATCTTAAAAATATTACAAGTCCAGTACAAAGAACTGATAACAAGCAGGTCAACTGGTTCCTAGAGATGCAGTGGGGGTGAAGCCCAGGACCCTAGACGCTCTGCTCTCACAGGCCGGGGCGCCTCCAGAGCACAGTCCGACACCAGGTAGATGCCTCCGACCCCGCGGGACGTGTCTTTTCTCTGAAGAGAGAGAGAGAAACACTGATGACGGCGGGCCTGAGCTTTGTCTTCTGGACGGTAAAGAGACATCTTCTCCTACTTAATTAAGAACTAACAACTGCTCTATCAGTTTTTTCCAAGTTGCCACCTAAATTCTTAAGGTTTTTAGTGAATTGTGTCAAGTATTTTTAGTTAGATGTTTACCATGATTCCCTTTTATCCTTACCTGGCCGTTAGAGTCAGACAGACCTGAGTTTGAATGCTATCTCTGCCATTTACTGAAAAGGACAGATTAATTTCTCTAAGCCTTGGTTTTCTGGTCTATAACCTGGGGATACTAGCCTGTAGGGAAGACTTAAAATGCAAAAGGGTTTCAGAAAACAGAATTCTCTTCTGTGCTTTTCCCAGGAGTGGGAGCGCCAGAGGGAAAGAGGCTGAACTGAGAAAGCCAATTTCCCTTAGCACCAACTTACATTTTACAGGAAGGGATGGCAGGGATCGGATGACGCTGGCCTGCACGTAACCCCTCGGGGTCAGACCAGAAAACGGAGCCCAGGATTCAGGCTCTGGTTCTGCTTCTCATACCCCGGGCCAGGAGAATATCAGGGACTTCTGGCGTGTGTCCAGCCCTTGCTTATCTCCCTGTGGCCACTCACCCATCCTTTCCCCAAACCCACAGGCCAGAGAAGTCAGCAATCCAACTGTGGATTAGACTCTGGACTTAAGTTTGCTATCTTTGAGTACAACTAGGGGAGTTTAAAAAGGAAAAGAAAAACATAAGACCTACTCTCCTCAAAAACAACAACAAAGGACTCACGTTGAATCAGTTCAGCAAGTAGAGTCTTCGGCTTCTCCAGAGTGACATGTGGTAAAAGACAGGCCATTTCTAGTGAGAGGCCTATAATTGTTATCTTTAGGAAAAGTATTTTGTTCAAAGAGGCCCCCTCCTCACACTTCCTTTTTTAAATTAACGAAGACATGATAGTTATCGCCACCTGGGAGTAAAATACGTGGTTATTAAAAATCTCTTCCATATCCCTAGATGCAGAAGAGGATATCTGATATGCTTATCTTTAAGCCTGCCTGAGAGTCCCTTGGCCCCAGACTCCAGGTTCCACTGAAGATCCTACAGTGGCGTCAATCTTACATTTTGGACAAACTCTTATTTCATGTTCACCGCTGTAAGTTCTCCAGGGCTGGGAGTTGGTACATTACCGTGGAGCGCTGTAGTACCGAGTCACCCAGGCATCCAACAGTACAATCCAGCAGGAGCACCTCAATCTAGGGCCTCCCATCTTGGGAGGCTGAGGGCACATACCTGATCGTTCCCTACGTCCGAGCACAGCTCCGATGACTTCCCTCTGTGATAACGAGAGACGTGGATTGCCCCTCCTTCCTCTGGCGCAGATGAGTAATACTTCTAGAAAAGTAATGTGAAAGATGTTGGGTTACCAAATAGTCTGGTCAAATTAAAAAAAAACAAACCCGTTTTTTGGGCAAAGTCGGGTTAAGAGGCAAGAGAGCTAAGGTATATTACCTGCCCTCTTCAGAGGCCTCTTAAGTCATACAACAAATTTAACCCATGTAAAGTGGCTGCAGAGAAGGAAACCACACTTGGCATTACTTTGCTGCCATCTGCTGCCTCCGTAGGGCAAGAACTCAAGCTGGGCAGGACCATGCTCTCTGCCAGGTTAAATAATTTTCACAGCATCCTCCCCACCTATGTCAGATACACATGCCCTCTCGTCTCCACTCATGACAAGTTCTGATGAACAGGTCCATGCTTACTAAGTCTCAGACAAGGACAAGGGAAGACAAGAGATGCATCTCCTTGAGGTTTAGAAATACAACAGGAAGTGTAACATAAAGCCAACAGCTATGCAGCCCTTCTCCCCAGAGGAGGGGAGGGAGAAGTTTCCAATTTAAGCAGAATAATCCAAAGGCTCAGAAAGCAGTTTTTTTCTTGTCTACTTCCTTCCTCTCCCTCGGAGTTAACCTTAGACTCGCCCTTGATTATGACTAATGGTGAGGACGTCATAAGCCTGCTTGTTTTGAACAAAGGGTAGAGACAATGTTTAAGGCAAGAGACCAAAAGAATGAGAAGCTGGGGAAAGCATGTCAGGACACGAATTTAATGATGTATTTTAGGGGCTGCTTCAAAATTCTAAAAGCAAACTCAGAGAACACTGTTCTTAATTCTATCTCTAGAAAGCCAAGGGGTTCTGAGGCTCCATTCCATAATGGAGACTTGAACCGAAGCATGAACTGAAAACCAAAACGAAGAACACCAATTTGCTCAACCTCAAACCAAAGACAAATATTATTCCTCTTACTGAACCATGAACCAAAGTGTTTATCTTGATCACTTTACAGCAGAACCAAAGTCATGGCTTTTTCTAAAACAATTTAACAGAGTAAGAACATAAAAATACTCTCTGAACCGTATCTTGTTGGTTGGAATCCTATTCTTGGAGTCACAGGGTTTTATAAAAGATGTAGAAATATTAGAGACTCTTTGAATCTTAATATTCATCATGAAACTGAAAAGCAGGAGAGAAACAAGGTATTCCTTCTGCCATATAGACCAGCAGCTTTACAACTACATAAAAATCATAAAATGTTAAGTCTGGAGGAGACCAGCGAGTTTGCTTTAATCTCTAGAAGACAGAGAGTACCTTCTGTACAGGCGATTTCCTTGAATGTTGGCTGGCCTGTCTTCAACATCCCCTCAAAGTACTTAAAGATGATCTTAGTGTATGGTTTTGAGAAGAGGATTTTTCAGACTTTTGTTCACCCATTTCAGTGAACAGTACCAAAAATCTCATCACATAAGTCCCTTGTGTTTCAGTTTATGACAATTTTATAGTGTTCACCTGTCAGGGGAAACCAAAGAAACAGACTCTAAGGGCTGGAAAGGACTCGAGACATCATCATTTTACTATGGAGAAGGTTAGGCTGAGAGACTAAGTGGCCAAAGGCACCACAGCCAGCAAGTAGCAAAACATGGGTCTGATTCCTGGGAGGCTGCACCTGCCATCAAGCCACACTACCTCTGATGAGGGCATTGCATCTGTTCCACATACTGTCCAAAGGGACATACTTAAAAACTACATTACCAGGGACTTGAAACAGACATTAAGATTTAATGGAGGGATTTTGTTTCAGTTTTTGCTTTGAAATCAGAGAGGCTCAGTTCGTTTAGTGCTATCCTGATTAAAACAAAACAAAAACAACTTTAGTCAGTTCAACGTTTAAAAAACTCCTAATTTTGGACTTGATTGTTCTAGAATTCAGCAAATACGCCTTCCCTCCTTCCCCAGTCTGAAAACAATAGTGAGGGGAGAGACCTTTTCTGGCTTGTTCATTGCTGTGTCCTCGTAACACCTGGAGTGAGGCATTCAATATTTGCTGAATGAATTCTTACCTGGACTTGTCACCTGGTTTAAATCCTTGGCTGATTACAATATGCCCATGAAGGCAGGGCAGGGTGAACAGGTAGTCTCCAGATTCTCCCTAAATTCCACGAAAAGCCATTTTGTGATCCATCAGCAGACAGACAAGGGCACGGCTTTGGCTTACACCAACTTACCCCACACTGACTCGAAGTATAGTCCATGAATTCTGCCATTGTTCTGAAGGAAGCACTGAGGGTTGGATGTCTTTCTTCTCTCTATTTGAATAAACGGCAAGTCACAGGTGAGATCTGGTAGCCCCTACTAGAGTATGAAGGCATTTTGGCAATAGCTTCCTTTGTACTTTTCGAAAGGCCTCTGCAAGTTTAAGTCAGTAAGAAAGATCTTACTGAGAAAGAATTCCAACTATAAAAGGAATACATAGACATGCAGTTTTTCCAGGACAAAGGTAAAGAGGTTTATTGGCGTTCCTCTAATATCAGACGGCAGCATGTAAGAATTGTTTTAAAAAGTAACCACAGGGCCGAGCACTAGCGGTATCTAGCGGTATCCTAAAGCAACCCAGTAAGAATCTGTCAAATGTCAAGAGTTTTCAAAAGGGTTTTCGGTTCATTGTCCCAACACTTAACAGCTTCCGCCAAGGACAGGAAATCCCTCGGGTGTTTCTGTGTGGCGTGCCCTGGTTCTCAGCAAGCCGCTGCTGAGCCAATGAATGGGCTGGTCCCCCAGCACAGGGAACCTCACCTCTCCCGGGAGAAGCCGCTGGGTGCCGGCTGCCGGCCCTCTTTCTCGGTAGGGCCGCTCCCGGGAAATGACCCCCGCGCTGCCTTTAGGAAGTTCCACCGAATGCCAGTCCACCGCCCTCCTTTTGGCCCGCTCCAGCACTTCCTGACCCAGCTTAGCCGAGCGCTGCAGGGAACGTCGGTCCAACCCGTTCAGCGCCGCGGCCGCCAAACAGTTCTCCATGTCTCCCTGCGCAGGCACAGACACACAAACATGGGCGGGTGAGCGGGCCGCAGCGACCCAACTCCAGCTTGGGGCTGGAGCCAGGTCCTCGACCTCCCCGGCGACCACTGCCCCCGGCACCGCCCAACGCGCTCTCCACCGGGCGCTGGGTCGAGGGCGACGGGGTGCGCGCGGACCCTCTCCATTTCCATCCCCCCTCTCCTCGGTGGGGGGCTCTCACCCGGGCTGCCTCTCAAAGCGCATGCGCTCAGCGCACCATCGCAAAGGGGAGGGCGGGGCCTGGAGCACCAAGCTCCGGCGCAGCAGGCTATTGGCCGGGTGGGGACGAGGGGCGGGGCGATGGGACGCGCCGC